ACTTTTCAATCAGAAACGCGCGTGCTTCGTTAGGGTCAAAGTACTGCGGATCACCAAACTCGTCCTCAGTGACGAGTTCAAATCTAGTCTTTTACACATTTATATATTTTTATTGAATATCAATTAAGAATGATCAAAACAGTCCATACACTAGATTTAATTGTGAAGTATTATATGAACTTATCAAAAGATGAACAAAGACAGTGACTGGGCTGACACTGATAGTTGAAAATAAGCTCTTAGATTATTATAGCTAGAAAATTAAACCTTTTTAAAAGGTTTCATTTTCTAGCTATCGATCAATTAATAATTGAGACAATCAGATATGCAGCTGACGAAGTTGATTGAAGAGGTACTGTATGACATTCAAAAATACAAGCTTAATTTGGATTTTTTTAAATCTCACTTTAGCAACTGGTAGCTAATGCTTGTTTTGTTTTTTCTTGGTGTGGTTTGTTGACTAATATAGCATTGTCTTAATTTAAGATAAAGTACTACCACAAGATAGGGGGTGCCCTATTAGAATTTGAATGTTTGATCGAAACTCGTCTTTTAATTAAGGACACGCCCCTTCATAGCACTATTTTTGAAAATAGGATTAAATTCCAAGGAAACCTGCAAAAGAACTTGCAAAATTACTAGCTCAATATTTTTTTTTTTTGACGTTGCAACTTACTTCTTTAAGTCTGTTCTTTAACTTTACTACACCCTCAGTGACAGTTGCTAAATCCTGGGTAGATTCATGGTTGATTTTTTCAGCTGACATAAATTGAAACGCAATATGAAGTTTGGTCAAGTGCTCAAGTTCCCGCATAACTTTTTGGTATTCTAAGTATGCTGACCTCTCTTGACGCAAGGTGGATAATGTTGGCGTTATCTCTTCTTTCAAAATCTGAAAAAAACGATACAAGATTCTTTTATTGTCACTTATGGATAAATTCACAAGTAAAAGTCATTTTTCTGATGAATATACAAATAATTATATCAAGGTACAGTAACACAATTGGGTAAATATACAAGATAAGTAAACTACACAAAAAATTTTTCCGGGTCAGGCTACTAAGACACAGCTAGGGGAATGCGAAAGAAGACATATGTAAACATCAGCATGTGCTCTTGAGACAGCTACTCTGTTGAAAAACGACGGTAAAAGTCATTATCTGTAATTTGACGAATCATATTAAGAAACACTAATTGAAATGTTTAGACGATAATAGTGTTAAACATATTAATATTGATGATGGCATTGTCCATATGAGGCATATGCAAGACTGAGGGTTAGTATAGCAATGGCGGTATTAATGACATCACTCCACAACAGATCCCTTTGACGCGACAAGCCAATGTGTTCCCCGTCTTTGGATTGCGGACGGGATTCTATCGTATTAACATTTTTTGGTTATTGTAGCAACAACAGGCTTTTATATACTTCAACAAAGGGTTGACTAACCTAGATGTTTGCGCGTTGTGGTAGACATGGAGCCAGACTGTGTTTTATTATCTTTCCTCCAAGGTTTTACCAAGACTGCTGAATTTCAAGTGAACTGTTTAAGGATTTTAATTGGGAATCAACATGGATGCTTTCAAATTATTCTTGCAACTTCAATTTTCTTATTGTTAAGCCATAAAGACCTAATGTTCAAAAATAAAAACATTTTTCTACGAATAAAATAACAATATTATCATTTTCATACATAATGATAATCGCAAGCAGTAAATTTTTCATTGACAAATGCGACGTAAACACTGGGCGTACGCAGTGGCGTAAAGCCTATGCGATCTCATGCAGCGGTCCGCAGGGCCCCGATTTTTAGGGTCCCTAAAAATAGGTCCTCGTCCTCGATCTAGCACCTTGACACAAAAGGTCTATATGGTGTTCAGGGATAAGGGACCGAAGGTCATGAAGGGGTAATTTTTATCTTTTTTCTGTGCCGATTTCAACCAAACCTGGTCAGTATAACCAGCGACACCTCTCATACATGGGATGTTCACTGCTTGGGGTCAAAGGTCACATAGGGGTCATTAGGGTAAAAAAAAAATTTTTTTAATGAATAAAATCACAAATAACATACAGTCTTGTCCTGGGCACATGTGTATTAGTAGGTATCCCAATGAAACCCGTTTTGCGTTACCACATATTCATGAAATTTGATGAAATGACATGATTTTGATGTTGAGAATAAAATACTCATTGTGAATGTATGTCAATAAAAATAAGATATCTTGAAAGAACTGGCTTTATTCTTTACTTACATGCATTTTTTAACAATATTGATGAAGTATTTGCAGAGAAAAGACGATTTTAAAATGAGTTGTCAAAAGCCGGCGAGCTGATTTTTACGCGCAAAAAAATCTTTGGAAAACCCCTATTTGTTTTCAAAATACGATCGCACGATATCCATTACAGCTAGCGGAATAATTTTTTTTGCATGTTATCAGGCTATGAATCAGCTATATTTTGATGTATAACTCGCTTGGTATCGATGTGTTCATCCGCCGCAAAAATCAATTTAAGTGACAAGAATCGTATTTTTGAACTTTTTTCGTGATCAAAGTCTAACGGATTTGGTATTAAATTAAAGCTAAATTATATTTTTGTTTCGTAAACCATTATTTATTTATTGATTGTACGTGGATATTAAGCGATAACACGTTTTATACGGTAAACTGAGAAAGTAATTCCTCAGAAAATGTGGTGTCTAAACCATTTTCTACACGGTGAAAGTTAAATAAACGCTACTGAGAACCACACAGGTTTTAGCGTATTTAGCAAAATTTACACCCTCCAGAAAAATGGACTGTGCCAATGGTATTTTTAGATCGCTTCTGGGGAGCGAGAAAAATACGGTTAGCGAGAGAAAAAGCATCGGGAAAAAAGGATGGAATTCGAACAAATTGCTAGCGAGATTGGTAAGTATTTTGACTGAATTACTAATTATAATATCACTAGTACATTAGTTCTTAATTTTATATCATTAACGTGGGTTTTAACAGCCCGCTAATATAGATAAATGATTTAAATGCTAGGCCTAAATATTACTGATCTACGGTGTCACGAATGGTCGCTTTCTCGCCTTGCTCAACAAACGAACTCCGCGAGTCGTATCACTGCACTGTGACCATTCTTGCTAGATTGGGCCTAGTTATTGGTGGTTTTAAGTAAGTAATAAATAAGTCTCGAGTATGCCTAGCTAATTAGGCCTAGGCTAGATAGATGTATGATGGATGAAGATGTAATTTATAATATTAATTGTTTTTGCAGATGATAATGCTTTCAAAAGTTTGAAGATCGAGTTTGGGAAAGGCAGAGGGAGGCCAGTTACAGGAGGCTTGCATAGTAAACCTGTACAAAACAAGTCCTGCCTATTCATTAAATACTAAGAACTACAGTAGGCCTACTGTATAATAAATAAAACATTCATAATACACTTGCTGTTAAGTATTAAATTAAAACAATTCAAACCATTTCTTTCGGACGGCAGTAAGTTTGCATGAACAACTTAAATAAACAATCGATTTAAGTCGTCAGATTGTAAATAAATTTATTCCTGGAGATGAACAAATAAAGTTTGAAATATAGAATCACGATGGCTTACATCACTTTCTTCGGAGTTTGTATCATAAATTCATACTGTCTTCTGAATATACTGTAGTATATATATTCACTATTAATTTAACAGTATATATTGTCGATGATCAGTAATGATAGTGGTGGTGATTCTCTTCTTTATTGCCTGTACATACCAAAATAAAGTTGATTATTGATCAATTCAAATAAATGTTGAAAGGTATGATAACAACTTTGACTGTGTAGTATTGAGTTGAACAACACATGCATTCTTTTCACTTGATGATTCTATCTCCTCTGATGATGCAGTTTGGCCTGGCTAATGATTCTTTCTCCTGTGATGGATGTGACATATTTCAAGCAAAATTGAAAATTATGCCTGTTTATTTTCTAATTTTGAACCAATTTTAATGTAGCTTGATTTGACTGATTTAATTTATGTGAGTCTTTAAATAGTAAAACATTAACAAAAAATAACATAAATGACAAAAGGTTACAACATATACAATTTTTACACCATTTTTATTACTTTTCAAACATTGCCGATTTTGCATTTTAAAATGTTTTGGCGATATTTTTATTTTACGGTTTATCTTATTTAATTTAAGTATGTTATTATAATACATTTGAGACCCTGGACCCTGGCCATATATATATACCATTCTTTGTGATGCAAAAAAAAGTAAGTGGATTGATGCAGTGGTTAAGAAGATATAGGCCGTTGAAAAAGTGCCGATTTTGCACATTTTTGAGACATTTGCGAAAAATTGCCAAAAAATGCAGAGGGACCATACTCGTATTTTAAAAACCACATTGCAGAGTGTCCCCAAAAAAAATAGACACATAAAACCCTATGTGATCTACCAGATTGGTAAAAATTAGATGTTTTCTATGATTATTTTTGAAGTTATGGCCCTCCAAAAATGCTCAAAATGGCAATTGATGAAAAACGCCGTTTTTTAACCGTTTGACCCCCATTTTTGGCAACTTTGATGGGCCATAACTTTTGAACGGTATGTTGGATTTCATTCATTTAAACTGGAAAGTGATCAGTGCAGTAAGTTCTGCATATTAAATGAAGAGAGAATTCACAATAATGAATTTGAAATTTCTCATTGGGATACCTAGTATTAGAATAAGGTAGGGTCTCTATGGTGTTCAGCGATTTAGGGTCAAAGGTCATTTCAAAATGTTACTAATGCCCAACGATTGGACCAAACTCAATCGAATTTGGTCATTAAGAACCAGCAACTCCAACACCCAGGTCTGGGATTAGGGGTCACATAGGGGCCATCGGGGTTAAATTTTCAAAATAGCCCAATTGAGCTCAAATTCACCAGGAATGATCCTTAGGACCTTCTAAACACAACAAAAAAAAAACTCTTTATCTCATAGGTCAAAGTTCATACGTCAAAGGTTCAAAATGTTACTAATGGCAAACGATTGAACAGAATTCAATCAAATTTGATCATTAGGAACCAGTGACACCTCTTACACCCCAGTCTGGGATCAGGGGTTACATAGGGGTCATCGGGGTCAAATTTTCAAAATAGCCCAATTGAAATTGAATTTACCAGGAATGATCCTTAAGACCTTCTAAACATGAAATAAATACTCTTCGCCTATAGGTCAGAAGTTACAAGGGTCATTTTGGTGAAAATTATCAAATATTGCTAGTGACTAACAAATGGACCAATTGCATTAGACAAGACTCCTACCAAACATGGGGGTGTTCGCAACTTCAGGTCAAAGGTCACAGTGGTCACCTTAGGGTCAAATCCTGAAAAATGACTGGGTTCATGTTCTATTGAACATAGCATCTTCAGTTCTTTCTTTCTGGCAACATTTTAAAAGGCTACTAGTGGCAAACAACTGGACCGATTTTATTAAAACTTAATCAGTAGGACCGGTGCCACCTCCCATTTATGTGTTGTTCACAACTTGGAGTCAAAGGTCACATAAGGGGCATTGGGCCAAATCCTGAAAAATGACTGGGTTCATGTTCTATTGAACATAGTATCTCTAGTTTATTTTTTAAATTATTCATCAAAAAACATTTATAAATATGAAATCAATAATTGGAAGTACTGTAATTTATTTTATTTATTTTTTTCATAATTTCACAATACTAAATAATAGGTTATTTAGAAGCAATTTCTATTATCTTTCAATTGGTATCAATCATGATTGTATTACTCCTTCAGAAAAAATCATATTTAACTATATTTCTTTTTGGAGTTGATAACATGAACTGGCAATTTGCCAAGTTTTATTTTCCATCGGGTTTTCCATGCAAAAATTGGTAATTCTACAGTTAACGGACGTTAAATCTCTTTTATATTTAAATATTCATCTTACTAATTCAAGACTACAAAATATTATTTGATGAACAATCTTTTCACATGTGTGTATTTGTTATTGAAGAGATCATTTTTTGACAGTTAAAAGAGGTAAAATAATTGTAAATAAAAAATAGGCTAGGCCCTAGGCAAGACACAGCAATACACTGTTTATTCCAGTAAGCTACAGCAGTTTTTCTGCAAATAAAAGTAAACAACACTTTTTCTTCTTAGGTTCGCTTCGTAGCCATGCTTAGATTTTTTATATCAGCCTACCATGTAGCTACAAAGCCTGCGCGCAGGAAAAATTGCAATAGTTTCTGGCTGTACTGTATTTCAAGCTGTGAACTCAAACTTCAAAGGATTTTAGGCCTTGAAAGACATGAATTTCATTACAAAAAAATTTAGTACTGCACTCAAATCTTCAAATTATTGGGTGGGATTACAACCAAGTGCCTCATTTTGCATGAAAAAGACGCCAAAGTCAGTTGTGGGCTTATACCAACGTCAGTCCAGTAGTTCTGTGTTGTTTATAATTTTGTCTAAATACTGATGTCCTCAATAATACCTCCATGGTATAACTGAGGAACATAAAAACGCGGTTCTACTGTAGTATGCAATTTGTTTGAAAAATGCTGAACAAAATGTTTGAAAAAGCATTCAGGTTGGTAATCCACCAGAGAATCTTCACCTCGCATATTCACAGAACCCAACTATTAAAAGCATTCAGGCAATGGTCCCACAAAATAATGTTCACCTTGCATATTCACATAACCCAACTAAAGCATTCAGGCAATGGTAATCCACCGGAGAATGCTCACCTCGCATTCACAGACCCAACTAAAGCTGCATTCACATTGGATCCAAAACCAAAATTTGGATGTTTTTGACAGTGATTCAATTGTCTGATTGCTTAGGTAGGTTTTCCCATCACAAAAATTTAGATTTAGTGTGTATTAACTTTAGTTCTGTGTTGCTTATAAATTCGTCTAAATACTGATGTCCTCAATAATACCTCCATGGTATAACTGAGGAACGTAAAAACACGGTTCTACTGTAGTATGCAACTTTTTTGAAAAACCCTAAACAAAATGTTTGAAAAAGTATTCAGGTTGTCCACCAGAGAATCTTCACCTCGCATATTCACAGAACCCAACTAAAGCATTCAGGCAATGGTAATCCACCAGAGAATGTTCACTTCACCTATTTACATAACCCAACTAAAGCATTCAGGCAATGGTAAACAACCAGAAATGCTCAGCTCGCATTCACAGAACCCAACTTAAGCTGCATTTAGTGTGAATTCACTTTTACCTGGTTTGGTCACAAGGATGACAACGGAATACCAAAATGATTCCTTAAACAGTGACGATAGACAGAGAAAATGATGGGAGAATGTCATCATTCCTAAGATAAATTTCAAACTGGTACTTGCAAGACATAAATGAACAGAGAAAATCTGTGGAGCCAGCATGCTACTGATTAAAACAGTGAAAGACAATCATTATCATGTAATAAATACAGTAAAACTTACCGATTCAATTTCTTTGAGTTTAGCATCTTTTTTCTCGATTGTTTTTTGAGCAGCAGCCTTCTTATTCTCATACATCCTGGTTCCTGCTGCTTCTTCTATCATAGACAATATCTAAATAAAATAGAGATGTTGTAGATACAATAAGTACTTGTATGCACCAAGGTCACTGTCATACTTAAAATTACCAAATGCGAGTGGATTCGTTTAAAAAGGTTTTTTTCAGGTACAGCAAACACTCCTTGCCTAAAATTTGTGCAGAATGTTTTGGTATGACAAGAAATTTTGAACATCATAAATAGTTCAGTAAATATATGGATTGACCCAGTAAATCTGTGGATTGACACAGAAGAAGAGTACAGTGTTACGTCACAATACCACGTGATACTACTCTGTTGCTATCGGCGACACAAAATGCATTTAACATTTTCTCTACTGACAAACCATTAATCCCAATTTCTAACGTAATTATATTAGGTAGTATCTTAATTTTTCTTTGTAAATGTTAATTGATGATTTAAATGTGTGTTCGATAACTAATATAATGTGAGCTTTTTATGTTTTTAGTACATTTTGATGGTAAATTATTAGGTTTTAAAATGCCTATTCCAGAACGCCTATTCTAAACCATTAATATTATGAAGTCATTCAGGCATAATGAAAGGTAATCAACGTCCAGAGGGCATCACCTGGTGTTGTGACGACAGGACTGTGGTACTCAATAGGCATTTTATGAACATAATTTCTATGGTGAGAATCAGTATATTTTTCCAGCCTGATCTTTACCTACTATACACTCTATTGTTAGGCCTAGTGTATATTGTATTAAAAATGGATGATATTATTTTACCACTCTTTTTATATTTTTTTTTATAATGATAAACTTATATTTTCCAATGAAGAATTTTTGCATGCAGATACCTACCTCTGGTGGTTTCATATTCAAAACTTTTGTAATCCTTCCTTGCATGATAAGGAAATGAGGGTTGTTGACATTTAACTGAACGGAGCAAAAAAGATCTTGTACCCGGCTGTTGTTTGCATTGCTGCCATTTATTAAGTACTTGTTACGACCTCCAATCACAACCTTCAAGAGCAAATTTTCTGAAATGCCTTTCAAACATACTATTTTACTTTCTCCAAAAATAAATTTACTGTGTGAACGCTTGGTTTAAACATGGTTTAAGCAATTTAGGGCCGGTTAATTCACTCCATGATACAGACTGATGTACAGCATCCCTATTTATTGTTTTATAGTAGTTAAATTCCCAAAATTTACACCATTCATTTTGAAAAGAACCCCCTCCACCCCGCCCTCTTTAATTTCCAAAAATAGTCTTGAAAGATTCCCATCCCAAAAAGAAGCCCAACCAAAGTTCGCCAAAAAAAAAAGTCGAGGGCTTCTATTTGAGATTTTACGGTATATGAACTTATGACTGTACTGTAGATTTAAAAAGGACATGCATATTTTTAATACATGAATGAAAAAAAAAACTTACCTGTCTTGAAACTGTGATTTCATCAAAATGTTCATAACCAACAGGGCTTTGATTTTTATCAGTGTTATCAAACAAAATTGTAACTGTTGCTTTAGTCACACCAGCTTGTCCACTCTTATAAACTAGTTCTTGCAAATTGCTGGCTCGCACCTGAAAAACAAAATACAATTTGAGCTGAATTTATTCCATACTGTATCTGTGTATAAATGCACAAAATTATTATGGAAATACAGTAGTCATGAAATATTGCACTTTTACCTGCGCGCAGGCTTCGTAGATACATCGTAGCCAGACATAAACAATCTAACCTGCGCGCAGGCTTCATAGCCTGATATAAACAATCTAAGCAAGGCTACGTGAAGCGAACCTACGAAGCAAAAGCATGTTGTTTATTTGTATGTGCAGAAAGACTGCTGCATCTTACTGGAATAAACAATGTATTGTTTGATAATTTGTGAATGGCAAACACGAGTTTAGACCGTTAAT